TAATTTCTAACTGCAGGCAGTGATTTCTAGTTGCAGACAGTGATTTCTAGTTACAGACAGTGAATTTCGAGTGTTTTCAGCAGTGATTTCTAGTTACAGGCAGTGATTTCTAGTTACAGAGTGTACTAGTCAGACAGTGATTTCTAAATTAGCAGGCAGTGATTTCTAGTTACAGGCAGTGATTTCTAGTTTACAGACAGTGATTTCTAGTTCAGACAGTGATTTCTAGTTACAGACAGTGATTTCTAGTTACAGGCAGTGATTTCTAGTTACAGCAGTGATTTCTAGTTGCAGACAGTGATTTCTAGTTACAGACAGTAATTTCTAACTGCAGGCAGTGATTTCTAGTTAGCAGGCAGTGATTTCTAGTTACAGAGAGTGATATCTAGTTGCAGACAGTGATTTCTAACTGCAGGCAGTGATTTCTAGTTACAGGCAGTGATTTCTAGTTACAGGCAGTGATTTCTAGTTACAGGCAGTGATTTCTAGTTTCAGACAGTGATTTCTAGTTACAGGCAGTGATTTCTAGTTACAGACAGTGATTTCTAGTTACAGGCAGTGATTTCTAGTTACAGAGAGTGATTTCTAGTTGCAGACAGTGATTTCTAGTTACAGACAGTGATTTCTAGTTACAGACAGTAGATTTCTAATGACAGGCAGTGATTTCTAGTTACAGACAGTGATTTCTAGTTGCAGACAGTGATTTCTAGTTACAGACAGTGATTTCTAGTTGCAGACAGTGATTTCTAGTTACAGCAGTGATTTCTAGTTACAGACAGTGATTTCTAGTTACAGACAGTGATTTCTAGTTACAGACAGTGATTTCTAGTTACAGACAGTGATTTCTAGTTACAGACAGTGATTTCTAGTTACAGACAGTGATTTCTAGTTACAGACAGTGATTTCTAGTTACAGACAGTGATTTCTAGTTACAGACAGTGATTTCTAGTTACAGACAGTGATTTCTGTTACAGACAGTGATTTCTGTTACAGACAGTGATTTCTAGTTACCAGAAGGATTACCAGTCAGAGTGATTCAGTTACAGGGATTCATTACAACAGGATTCTAGACACAGGATTCCTCGACAGGACTAGACAGGAGCACAGACAGGATTCTATACAGACAGGGATCAGTACCAGACAGTGATTTCAGTACCCGGGAGCATCAGACAGGTTTTGTACCAGACAGTGATCATTACAGACAGTGTAGAGCGACTTCAGTACAGACAGTACCTAGTACAGGAAGTATCATTAAGAGTGATTCGTTACAGCAGTGATTTCATCCAGACATGATTTCATTACAGACGGATTTCTAGTACAAGACATGATATTCTTACAGCATTGATTTCTAAGTATATGACGTGAATTCATTACAGCAGTGAATTTCATAGTTACAAGACGGTGATTCTAGTTCAAACATAAAATTTCCAGTTCCAGACAGGATTTTGAGAAGGTTATTTGCAGTACAGTGATTTTAGTCGCAGACATGATATTCAGTTACGACAGTGATTTCTAGTCAAGACAGTGTTTTAGTGACAGACAGTGATTTCGTATTGACAGACAGTGATTTCTAGTACAGACAGTGATTTCATTCAGACAGGATGTTCAGATACAGACAGTGATTCTAGTACAGACAGTGATTCAGTTACAGACAGTGATTTCTAGTTACAGGCAGTGATTTCTAGTTACAGACAGTGATTTCTAGTCACAGACAGTGATTTCTAGTTACAGACAGTGATTTCTATTTACAGACAGTGATTTCTAGTCACAGACAGTGATTTCTATTTACAGACAGTGATTTCTAGTCACAGACAGTGATTTCTATTTACAGACAGTGATTTCTATTTACAGACAGTGATTTCTATTTACAGACAGTGATTTCTAGTCACAGACAGTGATTTCTATTTACAGACAGTGATTTCTAGTCACAGACAGTGATTTCTATTTACAGACAGTGATTTCTAGTTACAGACAGTGATTTCTATTTACAGACAGTGATTTCTAGTTGCAGACAGTGATTTCTAGTTGCAGACAGTGATTTCTAGTTGCAGACAGTGATTTCTATTTACAGACAGTGATTTCTATTTACAGACAGTGATTTCTGGTTGCAGACAGTGAGTACCCGACAGGAACTACCCGCCAGGGAGCACCCGACAGGGAGCACCGACAGGAGCACCCGACAGGAGCACCCGACGGGGAGCACCCGACAGGGAGCACCCGACAGGGAGCACCCGACAGGGAGCACCCGACAGGGAGCACCCGACAGGGAGCACCCGACAGGGAGCACCCGACAGGGAGCACCCGACAGGGAGCACCCGACAGGAGTACCCGACAGGGAGCATCCGACAGGGAGCACCCGACAGGGAGCACCCGACAGGGAGCACCCGACAGAGAGTACCCGACAGGGAGTACATAAGAGGTGGTGTCGTCTAACATCCATCCCGACATTTAACATTCAACATCTGGGCCACAAAACATGATAGCTCCAGCAACATCATTGATCATGCAAGACTAGGTGAGATGTACGTGCAATATGCAACATCCTGTGTACCAGTGACATACTCTGTGCAACAAATCTAACATACGGGTATATGCAACATGCATCATATAGCCACTCAAAAGAGCCCAGTTTCCGTGCAACACTGAAGAGATGAGAGAGAGATGTTGATGTTGCAGAGCTTAGCTGGATGAAGGTTGCTCGGAGATGTAATATGCAACGTTACAGACAGTTTGGAGAGGCCTATGCATGTTGCAATGAATGTGGGTGGTGTGGTGTGGAGAGTGTGGGTGGTGTGGTGTGGAGAGTGTGGGTGGCTAGACGGCTTGGCAGATAGATGGAGGGAAGGAGGGAGGGAAGGAGGGAAGGAAGAAGGGAGGGTAGGAGGGAGGGAAGAAGGGAGGGAAGGGTGGGAGGGAGCAAATGGGTCTACCTTGGTTTTAGGGTGAGTAATTGAAAGGTCATTAATATGGACCACTCTAGCTGTAAAGGTCAGTGATGGTGTCAGTGATAGTGTCAGTGATGGTGTCAGTGATAGTGTCAGTGATGGTGTCAGTGGTGGTGTCAGTGATGGTGTCAGTGATGGTGTCAGTGATGGTGTCAGTGATGGTGTCAGTGATAGTGTCAGTGATAGTGTCAGTGATGGTGTCAGTGCTGGTGGTCAGTGATGGGTGGATCCAGTGGCACTGGAGTGTCAGTGGGGTGTCCATGATAGTGTCCAGGATGGAGTCAGTGCTGGTGCAGTGATGGTGTCAGAGAAGGGTCAGTGATAGTGTCAGTGAGGTGTCAGTGAAGTGTCAGTGATGGTGTCATGATAGTGTCAGTGATTGGGTCAGTGATGGTGTCAGTGATAGTGTCAGTGATGTGTCAGTGGTGGTGTCATGATGGTGTCCATGATGGTGTCATTTATAGTGTCAGTGATGGTCAGGATGGTGTCAGTGATTGTGTCATGATGTGTTCAGTGATAGTGTCAGTGATGGTGTCAGTGTTAGTGAGTGTCGGTATAGTGTCATGATGGGTCAGTGATGTGTCCCGTTATAGTGTCAGTGATGGTGTCAGTGATAGTGTTCTCAGTGATAGTGTCAGTGATAAGTGTCATTGATATTGTCAGTGATGGTGTCAGTGATGGTGCACGTGTTGGTGCAGTGATGGTGTAGTGATGGGGTCAGTGATTGGTGTCAGTGACAAGTGTCAATGATATGGTGTCATGATGTGTCAGTGATGGTGCAGTGATGGTGTCAGTGATAGTGTCAGTGATAGCGTCAGTGATAGTGTCAGTGATGGTGTCAGTGATGGTGTCAGTGATGGTGTCAGTGATGGTGTCAGTGGTAGTGTCAGCAGGTAAGGTTGCAGCGGTGCCAGCAGGGCCATATTCTCCATCAGGCACACTAGGCACTCCAACAGGCACACTAGGCACTCCAACAGGCACACTAGGCACTCCAACAGGCACACTAGGCACTCCAACAGGCACACTAGGCACTCCAACAGGCACACTAGGCACTCCAAGCAGCTCGGAAAGGCACTCCAACAAGCACACCTACGGCACTCCCAACAGGCAAAACCTAGCACTCCACAGGCACACTAGGCATTCCCAAACAGGCACGCTAGGCACACAACAGGCACACTAGGCACGCCAACAGCAAACTAGCGGCACATCCAACAGGCACACTTAGCACGCCAACAGGCACACTAGGCACTCCAACAGGCACACTAGGCACTCCAACAGGCACACTAGGCACTCCAACAGGCACACTAGGCACTCCAACAGGCACACTAGGCACTCCAACAGGCACACTAGGCACTCCAACAGGTACACTAGGCACTCCAACAGGTACACTAGAGGCACTTCCACCAGGCACACGATCAGCACCCAACAGGCCATAGACAACTAGGCAATCCAACAGGCAACACTAGGATTCGGGACCTCAACCCCAAATTGCTTTTTTATTGAATCCCCCCTCCCCTGGCTTTATTTTTTAGTTATATTTTTCGCTTCCCCCCCTATCCACCCCCTCCCCCCTCCCCCTCTCCATAAAAATGCTAAGGCACGCGATAGGGACTTCTTAGTCAGTCTTGATGAACACGAGTTCCACGGTCTGGGCCTGGGTTAAAACAGAGTGCATGGCGTGTCATTAAATGCCTCTTCAAATCTTGTAGAGTTAAACTATTATCCGAGAGTTTGAGATGACCAAATTTTGGGTTCGTCATAAAGAATTCATTTGGATTGTCGGCCCTTAGAGCAGGCCAATGAATCTCTGAACACTGAGTCAGATTGGGACTTTAGTATCTCACTCATTCTTGGCTATCATCTGGTATGTCCCAGATCCTGCCTAAGCAGGGCCCAATACTGATTGTTTTTTTTCCGCTTAAGATTTAGCAAAGAGAAAAGTATTTTTTTTTTTAATTTCACTTATGAAATTGATTCTGTACTCCATAAGATTCCTTCCGCTTAAGTTCAGATAATTGCAATTTCAGTGACTGGTGCTTCCCTTTAGTATTTCAGTTACAATGACCCCCACTTAGGCAGCTCTGTGAACTCGTCGGCCTTCGCCTGTATAGTGAATGTGATGGAAAAAGTTCAATAGAAATGAGTATCAATGGAGTCTATAAGTAATCAATAAGTTTCATTGCCGGCTACTTGTTAAGGTAAGTAAGATCAACAAGCTCCCGCTATTTCCCGCCTTTTTCCTCTCTCCCGAAAGTGATAGTTTGATTGCCGGCTAACTTGTTAAGGTAGGGTAAGTCAAGCTCCCCGCTATTTCCCACCTTACTCCCCCCCCCGAAAGTGATAGTTTTTGACTGCCGGCGTGAGCTTGGTAATGTAGGGTCAGTCAAGCTCTCCCCGCTATCCCTTCCCCCTCCTTCTTTTCTTTCCCCCGACCCCCCCCCGAAAAGGTGACTTGTGGGGCTCCGTCTAAACAGTCATCACAGACTCACAGCTCCCAGCACCTACTGTAAGTACATTCCTGCCTTGTATTCTAGTGGATTTATTGGGGTTGAAAGCTTCACTTTTGACCAGTAAATAAATTTAGTCCTTTCAGTTTTGCTCTAAGTTGACTGTTTTTAATAATCACCACATCTTTTAGGTATTGTACTTATCATGGAGAGTGATTTTTTAAGCATGGTAACCGTCTATCTTTCCAGCTTGGATGACAGAGAGGGTCCCTGCCAATCAACGAGTAGAACTGATGGAGATGGACGAACGTCCTGAGACTTCCCCCTTTTTGGATTTAATTACCTGTGCACCTGTATGAAATTGCAGGACGTAACCCCTCTTTATTGCAGCGGTAAAGAACCCCGCTTTCCTGTCATCGGGATAGAATACTCAAGGCTATACTAGAAGAACTAGCCAGTGGGTTGTAACCACACCTGCGACCCCCCCCCCATAAATCGGCAACGGCAAACGATTTCAACAAGCAGTGTCACCAACACCAACACCCCAAGTTTTATATTAGCGTTAAATTCGTTATAAAATTTATATTTTTCATTTTTCATTTTCTTTAATGTAGGATTAATATTTCATATTTAAGTGTTTTATATTTTATATTTTCTATATAATAAAGTGTTTATGTTTGTCTGTTATTATTTCTTTTTCTATTCATTAATTTTCCTGAGGAGGAGCCAGCTTTGGTAATACTGTCTGAAGTTGTTACAGAGCTGAGTAAGCCTTCACAGTGAACATCTCTCTCTTTCTAGTTTACATCTTTTTCTTTTTCTTAATGGAATGGGTCTTGAGCAGATCTCAAGAACCGCAGAATTAATTTTTTCAAGGCAGATGTTCGGGTCCATGTTGTTTAGGATATCTTACCAGCTTGTGTCATTTAGGACATGGTTTACTAGATCCCATTGTATGTTTTTATTATTGAAATTGAATTTTGTGAAGAGACCTTCATGACTGCTCACATTTTGCTGGTCTGGAGCCCTGTGCATTCATGTCTGTACCTCTATTATGTTGTGATCTGAGTGAATTGCCTTTGATACAGTCATAATACGTATCAGATCATCATTGTTAGTGAAGACGAGGTCCAGCATATTTTTTAGTCTTGTAGGCTGTACTATTTGCTGGTTTAAGGTGGATTTGTTGCTGAGATTTAATAGTTCATTTGTGTGTGAATTTTCATCTGAGCTGCCTCCCTAGGTGATCTCTGTTAAAACATTGTTTGCTATACTCCTCCATTTTAGGTGTCTCTGGTTGAAATCTCCTAGTAGTAAGATGTTTGGGGCAGGAGTTGGGAGATTTTCCAGACAGTGGTCAATTTTCACAAGCTACTCTTGGAATTGCTGGGAAGTTGCATCTGGAGGCTTGTATACTACTGTGAGGGAAAAGTTCAATAGATAGGAGTAGCGAAGGAGTATATAGTAACAATAGTTTCATTGCCGGCTACTTGTTAAGGTAGGGTAAGTCAAGCTCCCACTATTCCCGCCTTTTTTCCCCAAACCCGAAAGTGATAGTTTGACTGCCGGCTGCTTGTTAAGGTAGGGTCAGTCTAGCTCCTGCTATCCCTTCCCATCCTTCTTCCCCCCCCGAAAGGTGACGTGTGGGGCTCCGGTCCAAACAGTAATCACTAGACTCACAGCTCCCAGCTCTACTGTAAGTACATTCCTGCCTTGTATTCTAGTGGATTTATTGACTGAAAGCTTCACTTTTGACCAATAATAAACTTAGTCCTTTCAGTCTTGCTCTAAGTTGACTGTTGTAATAATCACCACATATTTTAGGTATTGTACTTACCATGGAGAGTGATTTCTTAAGCAGTGGGTAACCAGTCTATCTTTCCAGCTTGGATGACAGAGAGGGTCACCTGCCATCAACGAGTAGAACTGATGGAATGGACTAACGTCCTGAGACTTCCCCTTTTTGGATTTAATTACCTGTGCACCTGTATGAAATTGCAGGACGTAACCCCTCATCAACTAGCCAGTGGGTTGTAACCAACACCTGCGAACCCCCCCCATCATCGGCAACGGCTACGATTTCAACAAGCAGTGTCACCAACACACAGACAAACCCCAAATTTTATATTAGTGTTGAATTCAGTTATCATTTATATTTTTCATTTTTCCTTTTCTTTAATGTAGGATTAATATTTCATATTTAAGTGTTTTATATTTTATATTTTCTATATAATAAAGTGTTTATGTTTGTCTGTTATTATTTCTTTTTCTATTCATTAATTTTCCTGAGGAGGAGCCAGCCTTGGTAATAAATGTCTGAAATTATTTCAGGGCTGAGTAAGCCTTCACAACACCACAATTACAGGGTTTTGGTTTTCGATCTTTACCGTCAAAACTTCAACTACATCATTTGAGGTGTTTAGTAGTACTGTGCAAATGAGCGACTCTGTGACATACAGGCCAATCATCCCCTTTTTGGCTGTTTAGTCTGTCACATCGGAATAGGTTTAAAACCTGGGATCCAAATTTCTTGTCCTAATGACCTTTATGTGGGGCTCTGTGAATGCTACAAACATTGCATTTGACCCTGTGAGCAGTTCCTTGGTGTAAGGATTTTTGTTGTTTTTTGACAGCTTTATACCCTGTATGTTTGCAAAGTCAAATGTCGTATTGGTGGAATTAGGGGGGTTTTATTTGCTGGCTCTAATATCTGTTGTTCTGGGGTAGATGCCAATGTCCGTGCCTCTGCTCCAGAAGTATTTTCAGGTGGTGTAGGATTATTGTTATTTCTTGCTAGGTTTTTTTCCCTTCTGGCCCTAAAAAACCTCTGTCCCTGGAGAGGTTGTGGCCTTCTCTCTTTTGTTTCCCGTAATCTGGCTGGTCTGTGTCTTCTAGTGCCCTTTAGATAATGTGCCTGGCAGTATGCATTGTAACATTTTCTTTCATGGATTTATTAGTGACACAATTTCTGGGTGAAATAATTGTAAGAAGGGAAGTTGCACTCTCCTGATGCCATGTGGGGTGCGGCTTTTTTTTGGGATGGTTAAAAGTGTATGTCCCACCTGTTTTACCATTATACCGTGCCTGCAGATCCCAAGGCTTAGTATTAACATAGTTTGGGTACTTCTGTTTTCTAGGATTTATTGTACAGTGTTCACATGCTGGTGCATTTATTTTTTCCTGTTTCCTATTTTCTTTTACCCCCGTATGGACATCAGTGCTTCCACCAGGTTTTGCTGGTAGTGTGTCGATACTATTCCCTGAGGCCTCATCCCATTTTGATCCATCTCCAGCAGTATCTCTATTTTGAGCCTCTGTGGACTGAATAAGGTTGTTTTCAGTGTCCTCCAGGACAACACTATAAACCCTCACGAGCTCTGTCTTCTAAGACATCACTAGCACCCTCAGCAGCACTTTTTCCCCAGGACAACACTAGCACCATCAACACTGTCCTCCAGGATGGCACTAGCCCCCTCAGAAGCACTGTCCAAGACAGCCCAGTCCCTACCACCCATTTTTTTTTACCCAGCTGTCATACCATGCTGACATGTCTTTTAAGAAGGAAAGTTTATTGGTGTTCCCCTTTCCTTTTAATTAGAGTTCATTTCCTCATACAGGTGTAAACTCGTTTGGGCAGACCCAAAAACATCTCTCTGAGTTTATGTCAAGTGTGTTCACTAGTTTAAAATCCCTGCATATACTATGGGACTACTGACCACACAGATGACAAGCAATTCAGACCTGTCTTCGTCCCTTACCCCTTCTGCAGACTACACAGATCTTCATAGTAGTGTTCATCTTACAATACCGGACAATTCTATACTTGAACAATAGTGTTCTTTGAAGAATGTCGCACAACACTCTGTTGGATCGCAACACTCGTTGTTACACTGTTCATCAATAATTGTTCACACCATATCACTAAAGAAGCTGATTACACTTCTCTGTAAGTGTTTATCATGTTTTGTGAGACACTTTGTTCACACTAATGCACGGATCAGTGTTCTTTGTTGGTTATCCTGGCGTCAGTGTGACTCCCAGTAGGGTGAAAAGTCTCACATTGCAACAGCGTCCTACGCTGCTGCAATGCCCCTCGAACATAAAGGAAAAGCTGACCTAGTACTTTTTGCTTCCTTGCCAAACTTCCTCCATGAAGCAAAGCAGATTGCTTGATTCTTGCTGTCTTAAGCATAGACAACAATGTCCACTATCTTTACTATGGTAATAAAGTGGGAGCAGGATTTTCCTTAATTGTCCTGCTAAGGTAAGAGATGGACTGTCTCTTAAGCTACACTTTGCAACACTGGACTCTTGCAAGGAGCGGCGGTTGCTAGACCACGTCACATACTCGTACTGCATCTGGGATCAATTACTTGCTGTAGCAGTAAACAAGATGCTTGCCCCTTCTGAGAGGGCTGGGCCCCTCAGGGCTGAAAGGGGCTGAAGGTGGCTGATACCCCTCTCCTGGAGAAAATTTATCCACATTATCACTTGTAATATTATCCATGTTACTGTCTAAAACTTGTAATATTATACATGTTGCAGTGTGACACTTGTAACATTATTGAAGGGACAGTCTGTCACTTGCAATATTGTACATGTTACAGTCTGACATTTGTAATAATATTGATGTTACAGTCTGACACTTGTAATATTATATATGTTACAATCTGTCAATTGTAATATTATACATGTTACAATCGGACGCTTGCAATATTATTATAGTTACAGTCTGTCACTTATAATTATATACATGTTACAGTCTACCACTTTTAATATTATATATGTTACAGTCTGTCACTTGCAATATCATTCGTGTTACAGTCACTATTAATAATATTCATGTTATAGTCATACACTTGTAATATTATACACGTTATTATATACTCTAATATTATATACTTGTGATATTATATGCTTGTAATATTATAAATGTTTCATTCTGACACTTGTAATATTATACATGTTACAGTCTGACACTTGTAATATTATACACGTTACAGTCTGTCACTTAAAATTATATATATGTTACAGAGTAACACTTGTAATATTACACATGTTACAGTCTGTCACTTGTAATACTATGCATGTTACAGTCTGTCACTTTTAGTATTATATGTGTTACAGTCTGTCACTTGTAATACTGTACATGTTACAGTCAGACACTTGTAATATTATACATGTTACAGTCTCACACTTATAATATTAGTGATGTTACAGTCTGACACTTGTAATATTATATATGTTACGGTCTGACACTTGTAATATTATACATGTTGCAGTTTAACACTTGTAATATTATACATGTTACAATCGGACATGTTGTAAAATTATTTTAGTTACAGTCTGTCACTTAAAATTATGTACATGTTTCAGTCTAACACTTTTAATATTACATATGCTACAGTCTGTCACTTGTAATATTATACATATTACAGTCTGTCACTTGTATTATTGTATATGTTACAGTCTGACACTTGCAATATTATACATGCTGCAGTCTAACACTTGTAAAATTATACATGTTACAATCGAACACATGTAATATTATTTTAGTTACAGTCTGTCACTTAAAATTATATACATGTTTCAGTCTAACACTTTTAATATTATATATGCTACAGTCTGACATTTGTAATAATATTGATGTTACAGTCTGTCACTACTAATAATATTCATGTTACAGTCAAACACTTGTAATATTATTTCATGTTACAATCTGACACTTGTAATATTATACAAGTTACAGTCTGGCCCTTGTAATATTATACATGTTGCTTACTGTCACTTGTAATATTATACATGTTACTGTGAAGGCTTACCCAGCCCTGTAACAACTCAGTCAGTATTACCAAGGTTGGCCCTCCTCAGGAAAAATTTAAAAAATAGAAAAAGAAATAAAAACAGACAATGATAAACACTTTATTATTTTTGAAACAATAAAACAGAATGGGTATCCTAATTGAAAGAAAACTAAAAATGAAATAAAAAAAATTACATTTGAACTCAATGCTAATATAGGTATATCGTGGTAATGGGGTGTCAGGTGTTGGTGACACTGTGAGTTGTTGAAATCGTAGCCGTTGCCCGATGTGGGGGGGGGGGGGGGAGTAGGTGTTGGTGACCATCACCGACTCGTTCTTCACAGAGTGTAGCCGTGTAAAAATACTTCAGATGAGAAAAAGGTTGTAGAAGGGGGCCGGAAAAAAAATTT